CAGGGCAGGACCCCCCTCATGGGGGCTGGGGTGTCACCCCACAGCACCCAGAAACAATTAAACCATTAAAATTTGCGATTGTTGCCCCGTGGGTGCTATGGGGGGGTCTTTGGGGGTCGGGGTGTCACCCCACAGCACCCAAAAACAATTAAACAATTAAACCATTAAACAATTAAACTCTGCGATTGCTGCCCCATGACTGCTATGGGGGAGTCTCTGAGGGTCAGGGTGTCACCCCACAGCACCCAGAAACAATTAAACAATTAATTAAACCCTTAAATTCTGTCATTGCTGCCCCATGGCTGTTGCTAGGGGGGTCTTTGGGGGTCGGGGTGTCACCCCACAGCACCCAGCAGAAATTAAACAATTAAACAATTAATTAAACAATTAAACCCTTAAATTCTGTGATTGCTGTCCCGTGGGTGCTATGGGGGGGTCTTTGGGGTTCGGGGTGTCACCCCACAGCACCCAGCAGCAATTAAACAATTAATTAAACCCTTAAATTCTGTCATTGCTGCCCCATGGCTGCTATGGGGGGGTCTCCGGGGTCGGGATGTCACCCCACAGCACCCAGCAGAAATTAAACAATTAAACAAACAATTGAACAATTAAACAATCAAACAATTAATTAAACAGTTAAACCCTTAAATTCTGTCATTGCTGCCCCGTGGCTGCTGTGGGGGGGTCTCTGGGGTTCGGGGTGTCACCCCACAGCACCCAGCAGAAATTTAACAATTAAATAAACAATTAATTTAACAATTAAACCCTTAAATTCTGTCATTGCTGCCCCGTGGCTGCTATGGGGGGGGGGTCTCTGGGGTTCGGGATGTCACCCCACAGCACCCAGCAGAAATTTAACAATTAAATAAACAATTAATTTAACAATTAAACCCTGAAATTCTGTCATTGCTGCCCCGTGGGTGCTGCTGGGGCGGTCTCCGAGGGTCGGGGTGTCACCCCACAGCACCCAGCAGAAATTAAACAATTAAACAAACAATTGAACAATTAAACAATTAATTCCTTAAATTCTGTCATTGCTGCCCCATGGCTGCTATGGGGGGGTCTTTGGGGGTCGGGGTGTCACCCCACAGCACCCAGAATCAATTAAATTATTAAATTCTGCGATTGTTGCCCCGTGACTTCTCCTGGGGGGGAGTCTCTGGGGGTCGGGGTGTCACCCCACAGCACCCAGGAGTAATTAAACAATTAAACAATTAAACTCTGTGATTGCTGTCCCGTGGCT